CCCCAGACTGCCGAGCAGCTGAAGTGTTATACCAAGAAAGAATGGGAACAATTCCACTTTCATAAACGCAACATTGTTAAAAAGAAAGGTGATGTAACACAGTGGTAAACAGGCCCCCATCCCAACTTTTTTGGAATGTGTTGCAGGCATCAGATTTAGAATAAGCATATATTTACAGAAAACAATAAAGGTAATTAATAAAAAAATGAAATCTCTCATCTTTGTACTGTTTTCTTTATATATATCATCGCTGTGAAAGAAAAATATGTATTTTTTTGCAATTTTTACTTTTCTACATCATTTGAGCATGGTAGCTGTTTGAATTTCTTGGTTGTTTTTCAGTTTTTTACATATTTTGAAAATGCCTGTTGCTCTTTACATTGTGTGTAAATTTCATGAAGAATGGACCAAAGGAAACGGCCCAAAATGACTTGGAAAAAAGTCTGGTTCCATTGACTTACATTAAAAGTAAAGTAGGTTTTTTCCTTTTTCTGTTAAGTTACCATTTGGGAGATACAAGGTTTTCTTCTGACAACAGCTATATATATATATATATATATATATATATATATATATATATATATATATATATAGGTTGAAGGCAAACACAAGCTTCCTCTGAGTCATCTGAAGCATCACTGCATCTTTTCGAACTGCTGTTAACAGGTCATTGAACATGCTTGGAGGAGAACACTAAGCTAAAAGACACCTGCACTGGCTAGCATCACTCTAGGTGGTGGGGCCATCCTACCCACCCAGAAAGAACAAGGCAGGGATTTGCAAATCATTCATGTCTGATTTTACTTACAATTTTTTTCTACTGTCCCAACATTTCTGGCATTGGATTTGTCCATGAAACCACACAAACACCAAAAGACAATGGAGCATGTAGCATTTGGGCCTTTTAAGGAAAGCCACTGCATCTCTAGCACTAACATAAGTAACATGAAATACATTCTTGAGAGACAAATAGCTTGCAACTGCCAGCCTCGGGATTAATTAGCCAAACTGCGTCCTAGCCACCGCCTCGTTCAATTTGCAAATGACTTGTTCTGCGAGGAGCGCGTCTGCAAAAACACTTGACGTCTTTTCATGCGCTCTCCCTCTGTTCTCTCAGCGAAAGTTTTGACGATTAGCCAAGCCAGGCGTTTATCACTCGTGCCAGCTGGACAGAAACTGCCAGCTCCTCTTTAAGATGCTGCATGAGTTGATGTGCTGAAGTAAGCAGCGCGGAGGGAAAAAAAGCTTTACAGCTCGGATTGGTCTAAAAAAATAAATAAATAAATGATAGACGACATTACCTCGGAGGGTTTCAGTGCGCGGAATGAGGATCTTCGCATGGGAATGTTCAGACAACCAAAACACAATGGACCTGCTCTTATGCTCTTCCACAATGAATAAATAAAGGTCCAATTCAGAGCACGTCTGATTGCTTCCCTCATGTAAAGGAAGTGCACTCAGAACTCAAGTAGCAAGCTGTGGTCCCTAACAGAGCTGTAATTAGCGAAAGGCGCTAACTGGCTTGTAGGGGCCGAGGCTGTTCCACATGAACCGTGAGCTAGGCTGGAGGTAGCAGCCTTCCAAAAGCACTGCGGTCACTTGACAAGTTTGGCGAGGGGGAAAACTTATTGACTCCGGTCTCCATGGAAACTGGAAGGTCTCGTCGAGGGAGGCGAGCTTCAAAAGGACCGGATGAGGCCGGGCCAGCTTTGAATCATGTAACATAGGAGGCTGAGGGAGCAAACAAATTAACCGGACACGCGAGCGGCCGCCGCTTTGATCACACGAATCAAAGTGGAGTGTTTGCTTGTGTATTTAAGACATCTTGTGAAGAACAACATCCAAATTGTGGCTCTCCAGCTCTTATGCAAAAGTGCCACTAGGTTAGTGTTCCAAATCAAATGTTTGCCAATGTAATTCCTCTCGATAACCGACTGTAGGCCTAAGGTCAGCAGTTTTAGTTCAGCAGTGAGTGTGGTGTTTACCACTGAGGTAAATATTATTATCATTTCTTCTGCTGTAACTGTGCAACCATGAGACACACTGCAGTGCACTGCTGAATTATACAGCAATAGGCAGTAAAAATATGCTTTTGTAGGATGCCAGACAGTAAGCAAACTCTCTGTAGCAGAACATTAGCAGTCACAATGTTAGTGCAGTACTGTGCAAATGTCAAAGACCATCTTTCCATTTATTTAATTTCCCGTCAAAATGGCCACTATTTTTTTGTGTGTTTTGCTTGGAGCATCACAAAAAAGCAGAAAACAATTATTTATCAGAAAATTGCACAGAAGCCTCAAAACTAAATACAATATGAGCACTTTCAGAATTTAGTGTGTCCATGCTTTGCTGTTATTACAGCTTCCATTCTTCTTTTAGCAGCCGCCTCCAAAGTTCAGTCTTAGAAGTTGGTTTCATTTTCTGCTTGTCGCAATTCAAGTAATCCCAAATGCATTCAGTGATGTAGAGATCTGGACTCTAGGGTGGTCAGTCCATTGGAAATCAGCAGCTTCTTTGCTTTGTAAGTATATCTTGATGTTCTCTGGAGTGTGCATGGGGTTGTTAAGCTCACCAGACAAAAAACATTCACTGTACTATACCACCTTTTCTCGATCTATGAATCCCGTTGAACACCCCGCAGGTTTTTATTGCCCAATCACCCTCGTGCAACAACATCTACAGGAGCCTGAAGCATCTACCACCTTAAATAAATGTAAGGTGGCTAGTTTTTGTCTGGGGAGTTGTAGAATTAATTTCTTCCCAATCAGATATTTTCCAGATGTATTAAAATTTGTGGTACTTATCAGCATCCATGATGCCTTCAATCAAAAACAAATGACCAACTCCTGATCTTTTCATTATTTTTGGAACTCCAGTTTTTGGAAACTCAGTTTTTTCCATTTTTTCCTCTGACTTTCCTCTTCCTTATGCAAGTGGATTATCATATATATAACCTCCTCAGAAATATCCCCTCTAGACCTTTAGATGCACATGAGATACACATTTGAATGCAGCTAATGTGAGGCTGTGTAGTTGTTTGTGTGTCCCTCTAAAGGGGCCAAGTGCTATTAGCTGCATTTACATCCAAAGGTTTTTTTCATGCTGTTCAACTTCAGCAGAAATTGTTTATTGATACGTGAAAAAAAAAATTTCCAAGAAAAATAATGCATTTACACATAAATTTATATTACTAGTAGTCCTAATAATAGAAATAATAATAAACAAAGTTTTCATTATCAGTGGGAAGCCAAGAGAACCAATGGTACACAAATAAAATTAGAGATGAAAATTTGTAAAATACAGCATTTTGGTATCAATAAACCAAAACAATTTTGCAGCAACTGCGTAAAGAATTTTTAGAGCTAAATTATTTATTATTTTAAAACACATTTTTCATTTTATCACACAGAAAGTGGATGGAAATGGACACATTTGGGAAGCTTTCGTTGGGAGGTCACAGCTGTAATATGTAGCAGTAAGTACACAAAAGTAGAGTGGACAGATTCAGTACTGACAGATTTGATATACTGAGTGTTAGAGGCTCCTGGGTAATTTTCTGTTAAATATATGTTTTCTGAATTTTTCTGACACTAAAAATCGGGTAATCTGTTCTTAATAGCTATTTTGACTGGAAATTGAATAAATGAAAGGTGGTCTAAGTCTTTTGCACAGTTCTGTTTAACCCACTGTGCTTTATGTGTGTGTGTATATATTTGTAGTGGGATTCTCAGTTTCATGTACAGTATCATTTTGGGTGTTATAATGTAAAAGCCCAGATTTCTGCCTCTCCTTTTCTTCAGTATGTCAGTCTTTAATAATTCAGCAGGCCGCTTTATCAAGCAGGCAGAGCTGACGGCCCATTCCGGCCTGCTGCTCCAACTCAAGCATGAAGACTCTTTCACAGCAGGGTCCTTTCTGCTGCACTTTACAGAAACAAAGACTGTGTATGTGTGGCATATGCCCCTCTAATCCATGTGTGTGTGCGTGCGCGCGTGTGTGTGTGTTTGTGTGTGTGAGTGTGTTTTGCGTTTGTGTGCTGGGTGGCCGCCTGGCTGGAGGTGAGTAATCAGGTGAAGGTGCTCTTCACTCCAGCAGAGCGATCACAAGAACCAAGAACCTTACTTTTTTCTCTGCTGCTCTTCAGCAGACGTTCTTTCTCTCTCTCTCTCTCTCTCTCTCTATCTCTCTCTCTCTCTTTCTCTCGCTCTTTCTCTTGCTCTTTCTCTCTCTCTTTCTCTCTCTCAAACCTGAGTAAACACCTCACTGCTTTGCGTCTGTAAGGTCGGGAAGGCACACTAAGTGCTTAAAAGCTGAGGGGCGAAAGCTGGCACTCCACTATTGCATCTGGAGTACAGATCTAGATTTGTTTATTTTAGCCCAGTTGCATACTGTTGCTGTTGGGACAAAACCTTGTATCACCATATTATTGTTTTTCATTTTCTAACAGAATTTCAAAACTCTAGTTGCCTTTTATGCTGTTAAATTTTCAGAAATGTAGAAACTGAGCAGCAAAAATGTTGCAAAATGATTCAGAAAAGTAACTTCTTCCATTTATTTCCAGTCAAACTACAGAAGGTTTTTCCTCCTCTTGCAAATTCATTTATTTCTGGAGTTTTTATCCCGACAGCAACGGTATGAATGGTTTACATTTAGCACCACTCAATTACGCGTCTAAAGTAGGTACATCCATTACAACCTTTCAGAAACACATATATAAAGGCTATGATGCATTCTTTGCAGCGATTTGGAGGCTTCTTTTGGTTCTCTGAAGAACCGTACCTACATTAGCACTTAACCCCTAAAATGGCCAGGGCCCATCGGCAGGTTCATGCACACTTTCCATCAATCCGAAGAACCCTTTTATGATGCAAAGAGTTCTTTGAGTGTTCATGGTTTTATATAGAACCATTTTCCTTTCTAAAGAACCTTTGTAGCACCATCTATTTTAAGACCGTACCAGATGAATAGGATTGTCTAGTGTGTGGAGAGTTGTTCATTACCTTTTTCACACGTGGCTCCTCCATAGCTTGGCAAACACAGGCACACAAACGAGTTGATCTCATCAATGCAGGTGCCTCCGTTCTGACACGGACTTGACTGACAGTCATCGATATCTGAGAACACAGAGAGACAGAGAACAGGAAATTCAGACAGCTGGAATCTTTACAGGCTGGCTTTGCATACAGAAAATTTCAGGAAACTTTAGTTGCTTGAAACTTACATGAAACCACATTTCAGCTGTGTTATATAATGAAAAGCCTCCTGAACGTGTTACAAGCTTTACCTTTTAATAATGGCAGAACCCGTTTTGGGGCTATCTAGAACCATTTTCAAAAAACACATTCTCCATCAATCTGAAAATTCAGAAAGTTGCAATCTTTATAGGCTTGCTTTACATACAGAAACTTTCAGGTAACTTTGGTTGCTTGAAACTTACATGAAACCACATTTAGGCTGTAAAGCCTCCTGAATGTGTTACAAGCTTGATACTGTAGTAATAGCAGAATCCGTTTTGGTGCTATCTAGAACCATTTTCAAAAAAACACATTCTCCATCAATTTGAAGAACCATTCCACCACGCAAAGAACCATTTAAGCAGCATGCAATATAGAACTCTAGAACTCATGGTTCTAAATAGAACCATTGCTTTAACTAAAGAACCCTTAAAGAACAACCCTTTTAAAGTGTTGTTCCAGTACTGAAGTACTCAGTTAGCCTTCTGCGGTATCGGTATTTAAATTCTGAAATCACTATTTATGCATTTTTGTGTTTTATTACAGGAAGACAGAGGCTAACATTACAGTGAAATGACACTTCTATATTTTAATAGAACTGTAAAACATGAACGTTTCACCTACATAAGAATTATATACTTTTCTATTTTATAATGCGATAATGTAGGTGCACTGCTAAGGACATGAAGGCAGAGGGAGCATAGCTTCTATTGCTAAACAGGCAGTTCAGTCCAGAAAAGTTCAAATACTTTCCTCTGACAAACTAACACACTGCCATAACATCATCAGAGTCCGTTTAACCCCTTAATTGGCCAGGGCCCACCGGTGGGCCCAAAGTTTTATTACACATTTCTATAACCCAAGAATAGCTCAGCCAGTTTGCACTAAAGTCCTTATAATTACTGAATAATATGTCTTAGCATATATTAAGCCTGGTTACTTCCTATTTCTCCCATTGTATCAAAAAAATGATGCAAAATGCCAGAGGGCACCCGCAAGTGAGTCCTCAATGAATGGGGGGTAATTGGTGCTAAATGGCAAAAATGAAAAATCAAACATGTTTCTAACCCTTTAAGTTTGGAAAGTAGAAGCATGTATGAAGAATGTATTACACTGAAAAAAAAAAACAAAACAAAGAAAACATTAATATCTATCTGTTTTTCTACAGTAAGTGGATTTTTGGCAATAGGATGCTAGCATTAGTGCTACTGAGTGCTGATTGGTTAGCATTACTGCTACTTAGTGCTGATTGGTTGGCATTATTGCTACTGAGCGCTGATTTGTTGGCATTACAGCCTATAAGTGCTAATTGGTTGGCGAGCTGATCAGCTGATTGTCTGAGTGAGGCGGCTTGCGCTCTCTGATGTCATGACCATGCATGGGGTGCTGTTGTAAAGTCCTATAACTGGAGTTCAAATGTTCTATAAAATATGAAATATTTTATGCTGTCCTGTGCTCAGAAAATTCCTGCATCAGTGATGATAAAAATGATTAAACATTTGCAAACTATAAGTTTGCACAGAAGCTCAACAGGAGCCCATTCGTTTTGCACTCGCTCTGGAGCGCCCTCTAGTGTCTGACATACAGAATACATTATTGAGTGGCAGTACCTTACTGCACATTCTCTGGTTTTAGCTCATTAGCTCATCCGAGACAATCTCTGTTATGTTACTCACCTCCTTTGTGTGATGCTAAAGTTTGTGCAACCCCAGTGCTGTCGGCTAAAAAAGTAAGCCGCAGCTCTGTGTTAATTTCAGACGAAATCTGTCTTTTTTGGCTTTGTGTTTTTCCCTTCTCCATGGTTAACCCTTCATTATTCCTTACAGGTACTCGAATATTAAAATTATTTGTAATGTACGTCCATAAAAATTAGCCTAATCATGAAGATAATTAGGCTACAGAACAATATATGAAAACTATTAGCTATCAATCTTGTTAACTAGTGGAATTTTGCATGTAGCTTTAGCAGCGTGATAAATAGCTGGTAAGACTGAACCTCATCTGTGACCATCCAACATCCACAGCCAGAGAAACAGTGTCACCTTTTAAGTGACTTTGCACACTTCATCCTCATCATTGTGCATTTTTGTATTTTCTTACATAACTGATATGACAAAATTCTAGTTTGTATTTCTGGCAAGACATCATAAAGCAAGAAAGGCCTAAAATAATGAGAGAAGCTTTAATAAACATATTCTGTGAACAGGAATAAGAATGAGCTTGGACCACCGGAAGATGTACAATATCTGTAGGCACTGGATCAAGCCAGTCAATCAAACAGAGAAAATGAAAGAAATGCATTGTGGATTCTTCCTGATTCTCATTAAAAAGTGAGTCACATCCGAGTTTGCCTGGAACGCTTAACACTAAGTGTTACATTAATAGGGCTTAAAGCTTTGTTCTGAATGTCATTACTCCTAGCAATTAAAGTTGCAGAGGCACTCTGTGTGGTGCTAAGGTCAGGAACATGGCCAGGAACCTGTAGCTGTAATCTGAATGTAGCTGTGATAACAGGTAAAGGTGAGAGCCAGTTGATGTAGTTATGGTGCATGAAGCCAGACGCAATGGAGTGCTTGAGCTGTCTCTTTCATTTACTTCGCAGATCAGTATATCTACTATTGTGCGACATTCAGGCAATTTTCTGGAGATGTAATTAATAAGATTGATTAAAGCCATCAATGGGGTTATTTGAGGAGCAGCAGAGCAAATGATCGATGGCACGTCTTGGAGTAACAGACCTAAATATACAGGTCTACAGTGCTGTGTAAAAGTTGGAGACCACCTTTTATCTATTTAACTTACAGTCAAACAGACGTTGTTTATAAGATAATCCACTTGCATAAGGAAGAGGAAAGTCAAAGGAAAACTAAGAGTTTACAACCGTGCAAGACCTGGTAGACCACCATAACTGTCCCCATCAGATAAACAGCACTTAAAGCTTTCATCTTTGAGAGAGAGGAGAAAATCAAGCTGCTTCAGATCTGAAAACATCCACAGGTGTTTCTGTCCATCCTTCCACTGTGAGAAGACGACTCAGCGCTGTGGGTCTGAAAGGTTGTGTAGCTGTTAATACGCCTTTAATGAGAAAAGGAAACAGACAAGAAAGAAATCAAATCAAATCAAAGACGCTGTTTCATTCTCAAAACAATGGACTGACCACCCCAGAGTCCAGACCTCAACATCAGTGAATGTGTTTGGGATTAATTGAATGGTGAGCAGCAGAAAATGCGACCAACTTCTAAGACTGAACTTTGGAGGTGTGGAAAAATATTCCTGCAGATTTCTTTAACAAACAAATTTCTCCATAAAACACTGGAACTTAGAACTTAGAAGGGTAGACATAAAAATCCTGAAAAACATATATATTCAATATTGTAAAATTAGAGATTTGTATTATGAGTATCATATTTAATTGTCAAGACTTACGTGACAGAATTGACTACTATGCGCTCCTTCCTATGAGTGCACTACATATTATATAGTTTGTGTTAAATACTAAATAAATTACATGTTAACCTTTATGTCCTAAATAAACGAAGTCACAAAAATAATTCTAAACAAAAATAACTGCTAACTGCTGTGTCTTTGAAGTGGCTACATAAGTGACATCACTTGCTGCTGGCTATACACATTCCATTGTCGCACAGTGTTGCCTCTAGGCAACGTACATACAGACATTTATCATAGCATAAAAATCATTTTATAATACTGAATGTTTAAAAACTTTACGCTTAAACATATTTTTTTTGATGGATTTTTGGATGGATGAAAAACTTTTTGCTTTTCTGAAAAACCTGTCTGGAGCAGAGATGTGTATCGTCCATAAGTGGCACCATGCCAGAAAGAGGTTTTAAAATCCCAAACAACACAAATGCCTTGTGACCAAGTATAAGCTGTTTATTGGTTTATTCAAACACTTGTCTTCATGATTAATCCTTCTGTTATTAAATGCACAGTATAAACCATTGTTAAATATGTTACATGTAACGTGGGGTTTGTTACTTTAAGGCAACACTGTGTAACAGTGAGTTAAATACTGACTTTTGCACAGCACTGTATGTATAAAAATGTCAGGGATTTAAGATTCAGCTCAGTCTCCTACATACATGCAATGAAACACTGAGCTGAATGCAGACTGCATGCACAATCACACACACGCATACACACACACACACACACACACACACACACACACACACACACACACACACACACACACACATTCCTTGTGAAGACCTCCATAGGTTTCTATTGACTTTTGTATTACTGCAGCCAAGTAATACTACACCTACACCCAGACCTAACCCTAACCTCAGTATTGACAAGGCAGTTTTTCTGTTCTTTTAGTTTTTCAAAAAAAAAATGTAATTTGTGGTGAAAACAACACATGCTCAAGTGCGTGCCAGCAAAATTTCCTCACTTGAGCAAAATTGTCATGTTGTTCTATCATTGTGATGATATGTAGTCCTCACAAGGGTAGCAAGACGTACACACACACACACACACACACACACACACACACACACACACACACACAGCTATAGACACACTTACAACCTCCCTCACACGTAGCAAAGTTCAAAGGTCTGCTTGCCTGCAACTACGCTTTCCTTGCTGATCTCAGGCCTGAGGGAAAAATCAATTACAGCACAGCTGGTGTACGAGAGCCCTGAGTCTACACACCATCTGAAGGTATCTCATGGGCCATGGAGAGCAGGCAAAGGTAACGGCTGGGTTGGATCGTCTCTACTTTTTGCCTGGAGTGTGAAACTCCCACGGCTGGACTAATGAGCTTTTTACAGTAAGGTGAAACACAGCAGGATGAAAGGAGGACTCCCCCGTAATGAAGCAGGAGATGTCTCAGAGTCAAAGAGCCAGCT